GCTATAAAATGTGGATAATACTATAATACTTCACATCAGGGATTATAGCCCAACATATCTTGTATAGCTTATTTTTATTTAAATCTTTTAACTATTTTAGTCCATGGATATATTCAAATTTATTTAATCAATTACAGACAAATTTCTTAAAAGTAATAATTCAGTTTCCCATATTCCATGTACTAGGTATTACAAATCAGCAACATTTATGCATTTATGGGTAAAAAATATATGTATATATTTATATATATATATATATATATATATATATATTTTCCCAGTGCTGGGGATTGAACGCAGGGCCTTGCATATTCTAGGCAAGCATTCTACCACTAAACTACATCCCCCTGCCTTCTTTTATTCTGAGATAGGGTTTCTTTAAATTACACAGGCTGTGCTTGACTTTCCTTCTTCCTACGTCATTCTCCCAACTATCTTGGATTATAGGCAAGCTCCACTTGTACCACGCTACTGATAAAATTTTGATTGAAGTGTTTCACTTCCAAGAACAATATTCTGATGTCAGAAAAAAAAAAAAACAGTATAGCTGACATTTTAGGCATATGGAAGTTTTTGGAGAATTTATAACTAAGGAGAATTTATTTTATAATAAAAGAGAAATGGGTAGTTTAGGAATATGGTATAAACTTAGATAAATGAAGGAGAATCAGGCATACAAAGATATTAAAGAGCTAAACCATCAAACCTTTCAGACTAAGATTATTTCATTCTAATTACAATAGAATAACACAATATGCAAAATTTTTTCAGTTTAAAACATTACCCAGCTGGCAGCTACAAGCAGTTCTAAATAGGGAATTCTTGTGATCCTAGAGGGAAAAACCTATGACATCAGCCAACAACCATGTAGAAATCTTAAAGCAGAGTGTCACAAGGCTTGTTTTTCCAAATGCTCTGAGAATATTGTTAGAAAATATGTTTATTTAGAATTCTCAATTCATTAAAAATTTACAACAGCTTTTAATTGATTTTTAGATATAATATGAAGGTATTTGAGTCTCAGTGTATTAACTGGAAATTAATTTGTGTTGATTTGATTTTGGGGGAATGAACCCAGGCCTTACACATGCTAAGCATGCAGTTTACCACTGAACTAAATCCCCAGCCCCTAAATTGGAATTTGGGAATTAAAAAAAAAATTCTAATTTCTCTTTGAAACTTACTTTACTTTGAAAAGCAAACAAAAACAGCAATCTGTAGTTGCATGATTTGGTTACTTTTCCTGTTCTTCCACCTACAGGTTCAACAACATGCTGTGAAAATCTTATTATAACAAAATACTTGGAAGTACAAACTGATGTTTTGAAACTTGTTTCAAGTAAGACTAATCAACCTATGACTTAAAATTTCAGGATAATAACAAAGACATTTGTTTAGGCATTTAGTCCAAAAAAGGGACTGATCGTGTATGTGTTTAAAATAGTGGTTTCTAATGTTTTGGGGTTAAGATCCCATTAAACCCGTGTATCTATCTATAAATGAAATTTTGTTTACAATTTTAGGGGTTTGTAATATCCCATTTATAAGCATGGAACAAGATCTGGGTGGGGCAAGAACTCTGTCTTAGATAATATACTATGAGGATTAAACTGAACATTGTGGGGGTGAGTGCAGGGAAGATGGTCTTGCTTACCTATGTTTCCTACTTTTTAACGAAACTGGCCTAAATCAAGCTGTTCCTAATTCAAAATGCCACTGCTGATTTTTCTCTAGATACTCAAGTACTTAAATTAGGAAAGAAATGTTGTTTCATAGTCACTAGCTATAACCCGTTGGTACTCATTTCCTGTACTAAATGACCCTGGTTCCCAAAAATAACTGCAGTGCTATTTAACTGCTTATATTTGGCATATTCTTTATTCTTATTTGGGAAGGCACATTCCCTTCTACAGCTGAAGAAACTCAGTGTTTGAAAAGAGCTGCCCCAAAACACTCCTCCCTCAGGCACTTAAAAATGTTCAGCATCTGAATGTTGGCAAGGAATGCTCACACCCAGTGGAAGCTGCACTGTGTGGACTGAACGAGAGAAAAAATGGGACACTATATATGGAAAACAGGAAGCTGAGCCAGTGGAGGCAGCCTTACTCATTAGTGACCCACATTCAAAGCTATAATCCAGCCACTGTTAACTATCTAGAAAAGGAAAAGACTTAATGGCTAACCTAAACTATAAAGGACACATTACAAATCCGGTCAGAATGTTCTGCCATTTTCCACCTTACTTTTAGATAAGTTGAGAAATGAAGCACTAGTTAAGCCCTGTACTTTTCAGGCTGGTCAAGTGCACTGAAATACTATACATACTCAGTTGGTGGCTGCCTTGTAGCAAAATTAATTTTCCACGGTTTTTTAGGCAGAGTATTGAGGGGTGGCACTAAAGGGAAGCCCTGAAACCCAAAACAAAAAGTTGCAAAATAAACAAACTTCCAGTTTCTCTGCATTATATGACTTTTTGAACATTATACATTTGGAGACAGAAAAAGGAAGAACTTTAAGTACCGTCACCCTTTCTTGGTATTTTTAAAAGGTCAACAATTCCCAGGGCTGCTTTTTACAAGGCATATACATTTATGTTTTAAAAGCAAAATTTTAGTATCTTAGGAAATGGAATGGAGATATGATTCTRAAGAACTTCTATATTAGTATTATAGGACGTTATCAGAACCATCTATCCTTGTTCCTTTATTTCTTCTTCCTCCCCCTCCCCTTTCTTCTTTCCATTCTCCTCCTCCTCCTTTTTTAATGTTTAAGAAGTTATATTCTAAGTAGCTGGATGTGACCAATGAGAAAAATGTATCTAGGTCACTCTGTAGACATGGTTCTTGGAAAAGTAGCCAAAGACTCACCTAGTCACCATTAATCAATTTGCTCTAACCACAGTCATATTCATTTATAATGGTATTTAAAATCCAAGTTCTATTGTTTAGCCAGGCTACTTTCAAGATTTTTTCTCCCTAATTAAATCCACCAGTAGGGTCTCTTCATCTACAGGAACTGCCTAATTCTGCAYACTCACCCCCATGCACTTTTACTTTTACTATTATCATTGTTGAAATTGATCTTTAGCTATAAACCTAGAACCTGATTTGTAATATGTCCCTTTGAATTACCTTGAATTTCTAGTTACTCCTTGCTCTTCATAGTCTGAACATCCTTATTCATAGGGTGACCATATAATTTATCATTCATACCAGAATATAACTTTGAGAATGAAAAGGGGAACTATTAATAATTATGCTTCAGTAACAAGCTGGTACTATCTTGGGATACCAGAACACAAGGTTACTCTGCTTATTTAAAAATGGAACTGTGTTATGCCAATCAATGGAAAAATTTGTTCTTGGGTATGCATCTATTCTCACAATGCAGGTATTCATCCTTTGTTCTAACCCTGGGGTGGGGAGGTGGTCTTACCTTMTGAATGTTATTGTGCTTGAAAAATGATTTATAAATGGATGTGCACTCAACTGTTGGCTCATAAAAATTTATACTGTTTAAGGAGGTTTCTACTCTCAAAGATTGAAAAGCCTTCAAGTTACCATGGGATGATTTGTGGCTCACTGAAGGGAATAGTATTTGAGAGCCTAAATTCCAAGAGTGCTCAGTCCACAAGAGAGAGATAGCTGTCCATTCCTGAAGACAACATTGACTCACTTATACTTCAAATCCAGTGCTTCATAATCACGATTAAATTCAATTTACTAAATTTAAGCTCAGTAATCCACTGTGGTCCCACTGTTGCAAGGAGAAAATAAGGTTTCCAGAGAAGCCTTTAGCTTCTTTTGCATCTTAATAATAAAGGTTTCTTTTATTTGTGGAAGCCTTTTTATAATTTTATGTAGAAATAGGAATAAAAGGCTAATTGAATAAACCTAGGCATGGCAACATTTTCATTGAACAACTTTGAAACTTAATTTTTGAAAATAGTAGGTTTGAAGAACCTTCTATATTTTGAAGAGCAAGTAATATGATACCAAAACTAAAGAAAAGGACAACTCTAGTTATTTAACATAATGATGACACATGAGACAGTAGAAAACAATTTATGACAATTGGGAAATTTTGTGGGTAAGGTATAGATTTATCTTGAATTTAATGGTCTATCAAGGTGTGACCTAGCAATGTAATCAGCACTGTATCTACTTAATAGGATTTCCCCTTAAGCATTATAAGGCAGATCAACTTTCTATGGAGTATTCATAAATTTCAGTTAACTATGCACTTGTCAATATTTGAATGAGATCACAAGTAGTCATACTCCTGACCAACTACTACTTTTCTTAAAGAATATATTTATTTAATTTCATTTTTCCTCATAGCTCATGCATTCTGCGTGTAAATTGCTATTCACAATTCAGTTTAGGCAAATGCTCTAGATTGATCTCTGGGGAACAAGAGAATCTATTCATTCATTTATCAAATATTAGCTGAACCCCGATTATGTGTCTTGGAACTTTGCTTGATACTTTGAGAGACTAATTTAGAGTTGTGTAAATGTGGACATAGGGAAGAAATTCTGGGAAATACAGATCCTTGCAAGTCAAATATGGAAAGATTGTGCTTTATCTCAAACTACACAATTTCCTATGCTAAGAATGGACCAATTTTGAACAGTGGTGAAGCCAATACCTTTAAATTCAAGAACGTTGAGTTCTAATAGAGTTGTTAATATAGAAATATCATTTAGCCTCTTAAGCTTGCCAAATATTAGTCAGGAGAAATAATGCTCATTTCTTAGAGGTCTTCAGAGACTGGCTAAACAATAGATTTGATTTTGCTAGTGAGCAACGTGCAGATTTTCCATAGATGGGATCACTTCATCTTCTATTTAATAYTGACAGCCAAATGAGCATCCCAGTCTCTAATCTCTAACAACAGAAACACTACTTCGCAGGTTCATAAATCTGGTAATTTGAGCTCTCTCTGTTCCCAACAGGGTGCTACAGTTCCCCAGGTGGCAACCCACATTTTCTGCTAACCTGATGGCAGCTTGCCAGCCACATAGTCTGTATTACCAGGTTTCAGTATGATGTTGGTTGGTACAGATTTCAATCCTCTATAATCAAAATGTGCCCAGTCAATCTCATAATGAGTGTTTCCCTTTTCTTCTAAATGTTYTTTTTCCAGCCCCCAACTCCACCTAAAGAGGGGAAAAAATGAGGAGAAATGAGAATATGTACTCTTAAATTTGAGAATTTTCCTTCTCATCCTTATTTCCCCACACATGGACTTCCAGATAAATCTACCAAAAGCATCTTCTCAACTCATCAGTTTTTCCTCTAAAAGTTCCTCATCCCTCCCCCCCCCCGCCCCGCCCCCTCCCCTTTCTTGCCACTCAGCTCTTTTCTAAATCTTCAAGTTTCTTATAGACAAGTAAGGCACACTATTACACCGGAAAAACATTGCTTCTAGCTAATTCCCTTTTGAGAGGACAGTGTCGTTTTTWGTCCCCAAGAGGCCCTGCAGGGTGGAGGACTAACCCTCTAATTTGCCCGGGGAGTGGCTGGGGAGCTCCCAGGGCTTTCAGGGATCAAATCCCGGAGGTGCGACTTTAAGGAAGCACAACTCAGGGCCTAACAGGAAAGTAGGTCCAGTCTCAGGGAGGCTGCTACAGCTCACCAAGGGCCTGCGGAGCGTGGGTCACTCCCCAACACCTCCCTCCCTTGGCAGAGAAGGCTACAGAGGCACAGCCAAGGCTTCCACAGTGTCCCTCCCCMGGCCTCCGTCGCCTCCCCAGGCCCACTCTTGTCCGGGCCCGCTCCTTTGTCTAGGCCCGGGTCTCCCAGCCTCCTTCTCCTCCTCGCCTCAGGCTTGGCTGACGCGGCCCGGGAGGAATGCGTTTCCGGAGGGAGAGGGCGGCGGCGRCTGCCTCAGGAGCAGGAGCCGCCGCGCGGAGGAGGCGGTGCCTCAGGGTCGCTTCCTGCCGGGAGGCGGCTCCGGTGGCGGAGTCTCCTCCTCCCGCCCCTGAGAAGGAGGAGCCGCCGCCGCCCGCCGCGCCCGAGACCGGGAGCCCGCTACAGCCCGCGGGAGAGGCCGAGCGCGAGCGGCGGAGCAGCAGGCCCGAGCCGACCGTGCCGGGACCCGACGCCGCCCGGAGAAGGTAGGGGCTGAGGCCTGCKGGAGGGCGCGCGGCCTCCGGGCTGCCGGGCCGGCCGAGCCTGGCTCGGACCTCTGTSCGGGGCCGGGCAGGGCCGGGCAGGGCCGCGGGGCGGAGGGGGKAGGGCGGGATTCCAGCCTTCAGGCACCAGAGGAAGTCGAAGCCGGCGCTCGCTGCCCGCCCCCGCCCGGCTCCCGGCCCTTCCTGCCTTTCCTGGCCCCGTCTCGCCGTCCCTTCTCCTGCTCAGGCGGACTCTGAAAGTAGAGCSGGCCCTAGCCCGGGTCCGAGTGGGAGGGTCGCGGGCCTGGGCGCTGTCACGTCGGGGGGCGGTGGTGGCGGAGGACGGGGGCCCCCCATTGGCCACTCTCACACCTGCCCCTTCTAGCGACCCTTGCKGCGGTCTTGCGGCCCTGAGCTCCGCGGTTAAGGTGTTGGAAACCCCGCACCGTGTGGGAATTGGGACCGCGGGCTTTGGTCCGTGCTGACGAGAGCGGGTCGAAGCCTCCGAGGACTTGTCTTTGAATGGTTCTGGACGCTTTCTACCCCTTTCTCTCTGTTTCTGTCACTGGCCGCTTYTTCTGTGAGCAACGTGGAGCCTGGTCTTTTGCTCCCGGGATGGGAATTGCTCCCGCCTTCAACTTTCAGAAGCGGTGCGGCAGCTCCGAGCGCCCGCGGCGTGGGAGGGTGCGGGCTAGGCCCGGGCAGAAGTTGGCATCCGCAGCCGCAAGGGAAGGAAGGCGCAGAGCGGGCATGTGTTCTTCTCTTCTGTGTTTAGAAGTACAAAGGACACAAACCAATCAGTCGCCAGCCCCACCGCGGGGCGGCCCCGGGACCCGGGACCCGGACCAGGACCAGACCAGGACACAGGGCCAAGGCCGACCCTCCTGGCAGGTGTCCACTTGTCCGCAAAACCCTACCTGTTCCTCGTATCATTTCACTACATGCCCTTTCTTATGCTTCGAAACAAGTTGGATTTCTGAGAATTTTCATATTTAAAACCTGAAGACTTTTTATTTAATCAACTTTGTACTTTGAATGGGAAATCTAACACCAATTACATTGCTTCTGTTTCCTCATCTGTAAAATAGGAACAATAATAATAATTATTGTAATGACAGTGAGGACCATGATTACCTCTAGGCATTTTGCACATATTATCTCCTTGAATTCTAGAATGGCTCTGCTGAGGCTTAGGTATTGTTCTTATACCTGTTTTACAAATGAAGCAATAGAGGTATGTATGGGAAACATAAGTAAATTGCCTGTGATCATTCAGGAGACCCTGGAGAACCCATGGGATCTAGCTCCAGAGCCTATGTTTGAACCATGTGTAACCACCTTAACTGCAGGATGGTTGTGAAAATCAAATGTAAAATGTAAAAAAAACACCTACCTGAGAGTAGATGCTCAATAAATATATTGACTCCTCTTCAATTCTCCTTGGTTGTAAAAATGTCTCAATGTAATTGATAGCACCATTAGTAAGGTTTTTGGGGGTCTGTATTCTATGTGTTTAGGTAGTAAAATTACTAGGAAGTTATTTTTTATTGTTGTTTTGATGGTACAAAAGTAAGTACTAGATGAATTTTTATTAGACTTTTTTTTCTTATATRACACACACCCTTTACAGTAGGTTATATATTAGAACATGTTAATAAACTATTAAGAAATATTAGTTGAAAGTTATCTAGTCTACGTTTGTGGACATCAAAGACTTAAGTCCCCAAGAGGGACTTAAAGAGATTCATGGTGATGTTCATGTTTTTAAGTAATTTTGGAATATTGATCAATATTAAATAAGCAACTGAAGATGATGAAGTGAGAAATAGAAAAGAGATGAAGCAGATCAGTATTTTTTTGTTTACAGACATTTGTAGAGAGTAGATGATGTTACTAGAAAGACTTATGTAACTAGAAAGCACGTAAATTCCAATTTAACTCATGTGTGTTGACCTCYCAGGCCAACAATTTTAAGTATTTGGTATATTGGTTTTCTTTTTTAAAGACTGAAATTCTACATTAAGATTTTTTTAATCCTCTCAATTTTCTATGCATGATAGGATGGAATCAACAATTTAAAAAAATCATTGCATTTAGTAATTTTAACCTTCAGGCAGCTTTCTTAGTTTTCTGGTTAGTATAACTTAAATTTGCCCCCAGTTATCATCACTGAATGAAAATGTAGTTTAACTTGATATTTCTAAATTCTTAACTCCAAGAGGGTCACTGGGGACCTCTCTTCACTTTATCTTAATGAAAATTAAACTTTTTAAAAAATATTTATTCTTAAGCTTTAGGTGGACACAGTATCTTTATTTTATATTTATGTAGTGCTGAGGATCGAACCTCGTGCCTTGTGCATGCTAGACGAGCACTCCACCACTAAGCCACAATCCCAGCCCCGAAAATTAAACGTTTTTGACCAGTTGCTATTTTTCTCGAGAATGCTTGCCAATTAATGTAATATCTATTTGGCTTCTTGATAAATAAATTGTGACTGTTGGGATGAGGGGAGTGTAGTATTCTCTCTGAAGAAAATGTTCTTTTCACTATATTCTGAAGCACACTTGTTCTTAACTGTTCTGCCTACTGATGAGATAAACAGCTTGTAACTGGCCAAAGTTTCAGAGAACTTTTGAGTTCTGARATTTTATATTTAGAATTGTGGATGTGTAACAAGCTGAATTTATCTGAGTGAATTTGGATGGACTTGTTAATTTTAGATTTCCCCACTGTTCGTGGGGGTTAGGCTCTGTCAAGTGGTAGGTGGAATCCTAGAGAATTATATTGTGTAAATATGCAGAACTTTGTATTATAATATTAGTGTTTATTCTGTTCCTGATTATATGTTCTCCTGAGATTTTCATCTGTCCTTTCATATTGTTGCTGCAGAGGTGGGAATCCAGGGGAAGGGAGGGTAAGAGTAGGAAAGAAAGAATGCCTTAGTCTTCTGGATTCTGAAATAATAGCAGGATCTGCAGCTGTAGCATGCTGAAATGTATTGAGGTTAAAGAAGGTGCAAGTCATAAAACTCATAATATTGGTGTATCTTAAGATAGTTCAGTAGAGGTCAAAAACGGACCCTTTTCAGGAGCTATATGCAAAAGGAGCCAAGCTATACTTATACTTTGTTAATTTCTCATTGTTTTAAAAATGCTTATTTGTAAGATTTTAAGGACTGATGTTTTGCTAATAATTATGAGAGAGGAAAAAAAGCTGCTTCAAATATATGTACATTCATATATAAACACACAAATATATTTCTTTTTTTTAATATTTTGGTTTTTAGTTGTAGTTGGAGACAATATCTTTATTTTATTTTTATGTGGTGCTGAGGATCGAACCCAGTACCCCACACTTGCTAGGCAAGCSCTCTACCACTGAGCCACAATCCCAGCCCCACACATAGACATCTCTTACATGACCACATGTCTCCTTATGTGAGTCTCCAAAGTGCAGTTTTCTGATCCTTAGGGATATGTAAAATGACTCACAAGAGTATTAGGAAGAAAATTTTAGGCTTACTATTATGTRTGTTTTTAAATTTTATCATTTTWAAATACAAAAATTTATTATGGTTTACAATATCTTACACTGTTGCCATAAAGCTCTGTGTATTTTACATGCATATTCCAAATTTTTTTAGTGATAAAGRTGAAAAACCAACAGATTTGGCAATCCTGGGTATAGCAGATGGTTTGGGTGGGTACACAAGAACTACAATGTTTAGGAGGCAGAACTGATAAGCTTTGGTGTCTGAGGTTAGAGAAATGAAGCAGCCTAGTGTGACACAGGGTGCTGCCTATGTGGTGCCATTCACCAAGGTAGGATTTGTGACCACAAGAGGTAGTCCTGGTTGGCTGGAGGAGGGGAAATGATGATGAATTTATACTGTTGAGGTTTTGTTTTTTGTTTTTGTTTTTAAGGTGACCACAGGGCATAGGCAGAGATGTCTAGAGTGTAGCTGAACATAGAGATCAGAAAATAAAAAAGATGTCTGGTTGAGAGATTTAGATTTGGGAATTCTTAGCCTGCAAGTGCTAATTGAAGCTGTACCATGAGGACTGATGTACCAAAGGAGTGAAAAGGGCCAGAATCTGGGCAGTATTTACCAGTGGAAGGGTAAGTGGAGGAAGAGGGATCTAGAAAAGCATTTCCCTTCCCTCTTTCTTGTCTGAACTTGTGGTTCCTTTGAGTGACATTTTAGTGACTGGGATTTGTGGGGTTTTCCCACAAAATGTTTAATGTAAAGTCGGAGAAACTAAATAATTTATGTCCCTCTTTGGTAATTTATTTAAAGACTAACAGAGGGTAGGAAACCTGGTCATGCTCTGCCACTGAATTTTTTGTGACCTTTGTCAAAATACTCCACCTTCTGGATTTTTTTTTACACCACACTATAAAATATCTGCTACATTTCTCATTCTGTCATTCTGTGAGTTGAATAGTTACTGTCTGATCTGAGTACTGTAGAGTGCACTTCTTTTTTTTTCCATGAGCAACCACTTTTTTTGTATCATCAGAGACCATAGGTGCTGTGCCAAATTACCACTCTAATATTTGCCAGTGTTGACGGATGAAATTGTTGCTATCAGCTGTTTGTTGGGGTGTAGCTCAGTTGTACATTACATTTTAGTGTATCAGTATATTATCACTTATCCAGAGACAAAARTGGTGTACTGAGTGAGCATAGATCAAGAAGTTGGTGTGGTCTTTGATATTGAGTGAATTATCTAGCTGGGACAAGTAGTTTTCAGCTCAGGAAAACAGAACACATACTGAAGAATATTTTACACAA